GGTGGCAGATCTCTCTCTCTCTCTCTCTCTCTCTTTCTTCCTTCCTTTCTCTCAAATAAATAAATTAATAATTAAAAAAGACCTGAATATGCCACAAGTTACATTTCCTGTAAATTAGCAACCTTCGACCTTTTTTCCACTGCTGTTGAGGAAATAACAAAGTGTATTAGTGATGACTGCCTTCTTCATTGGGCACAGAAACTAATCCTGGCCCTGCCAAACCATCTTGACCTCAGTGATAATCTTTGCTTAGATCTTCATTCACCAGCACTCCTCCCTCTCTAATGCATTTATCCCTGCATGCATAAATGACATGGATTTAACCACTTCCATGTTTGTTTAGGTGTAGAAGTGAAGAAGGGGCTGGAAATCATACCCTTGATTTAAGAGGTAAGGATAGCTGGCGCCGTGGCTCACTACGCTCATCCTCTGCTTTGCAGTGCCGGCACACTGGGTTCTAGTCCTCGTCAGGGCACCGGATTCTGTCCCGGTTGCCCCTCTTCCAGGCCAGCTCTCTGCTGTGGCCAGGGAGTGCAGTGGAGGATGGCCCAAGTACTTGGGCCCTGCACCCCATGGGAGACCAGGATAAGTACCTGGCTCCTGCCATCGGATCAGCGCGGTGTGCCGGCCGCGGCGGCCATTGGAGGGTGAACCAACAGCAAAGGAAGACCTTTCTCTCTGTCCCTCTCTCTCACTGTCCACTCTGCCTGTCAAAAATTAAATAAATAAATAAAATAAAAGAGGTAAGGATAAGAAAAAAAATATTTTTAATAGTAAATTTCAACTGATGTATCAATAATTGACACAATCTTATGGGTTTCTTTCTTTCTTTTTTTTTTTTTTTAAATGACTTAAACCAGAATGGTGTTTTGGCTTTCAGTAATATGCTGGGTTGAATTCATAAAGCACCTGGTCTGTGCTTGGCCCACAGTAAGTTCAGCTGGCAAGAATCAAAATGCAGTTTTATTAATAAAAATAAGATGAAAGCATATTTGTTGCTCAGATTCTTACAACATTTCTTTACCATTTACTGCTAAAATTCAAAGCAATTCCAACCACGGATACAGGCATAGCTTTCAATGTCTGGCTCATTAGGTAATGCATTGAGTTCAGGGAACACAAGTTCAGCATCAGACCTTAAAATTAATGTACATTACATGTATCAGTGCAGGAGGGACAAGAGAATAAATGCCTCCCTGTTCTGCTCCAACACCGCACCCCATACCACTGACAATCACAACTTAAGTTTAGCAAGGCGATTTCCTCATTTCCTGGATGCTGACTCTTAGTTTTAGTAGCTTTTTGACCAGAGTCAGGATTCCCTGATGGAATAAGACTGCAGGACTGCAGGCTCCGAGGCCAAAAACCCAAAAATAAAAAAGACACTAATGGAGAAAGCATTAAGCTGTCAGAAAAGAGGCACTGACTCAGGGTTTCTTTGAATTTCACTCTTTCCTTAAAACCAAAGAACAACTTACATCAGAGCAAAGTTAGAAAGGCTTAAGAAACCTGTCTGCCCTCAATTCCATGAGAAAATAGTCAGTGGGAGGCAGAAGGAACATGATGGAAATATCCATGCTGTGGGGATGCCACAAGAACACAAGTCACAGAACCCAGGGTTCCATCTAGGCCAGGGAGCCGCTGCAACATCCTTGGCAAATAGCCAAGCTGCTTCTGTGTGAGCACTTCTAGGGACAGAAATTCACCAGCTTGTCAGCCTATCTGAGTCAGAGATGGAAGGCTTACTCTTTAGGATGTTTTTGCTCATACGGCACTGAAGTGGACTCATCCAGCTCTCTTCTCCAGTGTCCATCTTTCTTCTGCATCAACAGAAACTCATTTCAACATCATCTTATACTAAATAGCTCTTGAAATATATGAAGATTACAATGCTATCCCCTGAAGGTTCTCCTCTCTAGAAGCCACACTTGATTTCACATCTTTTTCCAGTGAGTTTCTTAACTTCATTTAAAAAAAAAAAATATATATATATATATATATTTGAGAGGCAGAGGGAAAGAAACAGACTTCCATCCACTGGCTCACTCCTCAAATGCTCATAACAGCTCTACCTGGGGCCCAAGCAGGAAGAGTACACAATTTTGTCCAGGTCTCCAATGTGCATTGAAAGGACCCAATCACTTAAGTTAACTGCCGCCTCCCAGGGACTGTATTAGTAGGAAGCTGGAACCAGAAACCACTGGAGCTGAACCCAGGCACTACAATATGGGATGTGAGTATCTTAATTGCTAGACCGAAAGTCTGCCCCCTTAACTTTCTTATCATCCAACAGTGAACATAGCTGGTGGTCAAGGGCCTCTGGTTCTGAATATCACTCTTGCTTACTGAGTTTGGAAATGCTTAAATTCTTTTGTAAGTGACCTGTTTTCAAGTCATCATTTCTCTTTTGTATGTTTGAGGAACTGATTCAACCCTTTGAAATTCTCACCTTGTTTTTTTTTTTTCTTGCCTATCAAGTTCGTCATGATTCTGCAATGACTGAAATAGCCATTTGTTTTATATAATATGCCAGCCCAAAAACCATTACTTTAACTTTCTTCTTTCAAGTCACTAACATTATCTTGAAGGAGAAGGAGCTGAAAACAGAGCCAGTCCTGATGAGTCAGTCCAATGGTAGAGAAAAAGACTACTGAGGGTTTGAGTTAAGAGGATAGGGATTTGAGTCTGTAACTCTGGCATTTGGCAACTCAATCTTGAACAAATTTATCATCTCGCACCTGTTTTCTTCATCAGTACAATGGCATTAACACTATCTAATAGGATGCAGAACATGTGCAATGTGTTCTACATGTAGTACCTGCTCAAAAATGTGTGCCAATGGATGATAAACATTACTGAGGGTGGAAAGTCTTAAACTTATCATGCAACATAGTGAATTGTCTCTAATTTTCACATACAACAATTATTAGCTAGATCAGGTAAGTCAATCACTTATGGGCAATTAGGCACTATTAGAATCTGCATCTCAGGTTACTAAGATAATAATTAGTGAAGCAATATTGTTATTGTTAACACTTCCTCTCTTTAATTACCTTTTGTAAACATCTTGACTATTTTAGATTTGTTTCATAGTTGGTTTTTTTTTTTTTTTTTTTGTAACCTACCTAGATAGAACTTTCCAGGGCCTTCGCCTGTTCCAATGGTGAACCAGATCAGACTGCTCTCTCCTAAGCACAGAATGGGCCTATTATGGTCTGATTTGGTCTGAACTCCAAGTCTTCATTTTTAAGATTTTATTTATTTACTTACTTATTTGGGAGGGAGGGGGAGGGAGAGGAGAGGGAGAGAGAGAGAGAGATCCTATCCATCTACCAGTTCACTCCTCAAATGCATGAAACAGCCAGACCCAAGCCAAGAGCCATGAACTCAAGTCTCCCATGTGGTTGGCAGGGACCCAATTACTTGAGCCATCACTGCTGGCTTCCCAGGGTCCACATTATAGAGAAGCTGGAATCAGAACCTGCAGATGGGAATCCAACACAGGCACTCTGATCTTGTACCCAGGTGTCCCAACCGGCGTCTTAACCACCAGGCCAAGCACCTGCACCCTCCTAGTCCTTTCATCTGGCGCTTGCTTCCACCCCAGCACATCAGTCTGTATTCTGCCTCTCCTGCCCCCCTGCAGCTACATTCCAGATGCCCCTGGTGACAACAGCTCTCTGCTTGGTGGCTACTTCTTCCACTCAGACTCCCACAGAGCCTCCCAAATTCATCCAGGGTTCTGCCCCAGGAAGCCTTGCACGCCTGGTTTTCACACCAGGTCCCAGTTGTCTGTTAGACTGCTTCATGTAACAAGAAGCCTGGTCCACTGCACATTCTCCACAGCCTGAATGAGTGAGCCAGAGTCAGGGCCACAGGACACACCAAGTCCTGGGTGTCGGAACAGGATGAAAGAACGCTTTCATCAGCCTACAGGGACATCCTGCTCCTCCATCACCCCAGCTGGGATCTGCTGCGCTGAGCAGACACTTTCTGCTTATTCCTCCGGACGTGGACGTGTCACCACGACGGGTGATGATTTAAGTCCTTCTCCCTCCTGCATTATTTCCCTTGAGACAATTTACCTAGCCAGCATCATTCAGTTTGGCTCCTAGAACAAAAAATGTGGGATGGGCCCTAATTAACGTATGGCTAATTAATTATTATTTCCTCTCACTCACCTCCAAACCTCATGAAACGTATTGCAGAGAATCCTGTTTATTTTCCTTGCCTTCCTAATTATTCATGGCAATAATCATTCCTCCCCATTTGCCCCTTCCGATGTATCTGCCACTTCATTTAACCGGCCTCTTTGATTTGGACCAATCAACCCACTTTTTGGCAAAAGCAAGGAACTACTACTCAAGGCCAGAAAGCGCTAAAAATAAAAGTCTGCTTGCCCCCACTGTCCCCCAACTGTTTGTCATCACTGGAGCTTCGAGAGCAAGCACATGTCCAAGATAGCAATCTCATCAAACAAGGACGACACCCCCTCCCCTCAGTCCCCCGACGTCCCGATCAGTCACCACCTCCCCGAAGGAAAACAAACCGGCCCAGACACGTAGCTCCTTTTGCAGCGCCCTAGCACGGCCAGGCAAGGGGCCACCGCTGGCCCGAGGTGCGTCCCCCAGCGCCGCCACCGCGCCCTTCCAGGTGTCTCCGCGTACCTGGCAGCGGTGCGTCGGCCGGCAAGGCCGCCCGTCGAGGCGGCGCAGGCGGCTCTAGCTCTGGGGTCCGGCCTCGCGGCGACTGCGCCCCAGTCTGCGGCTCCCCGGGCGCGGATCGCCACGCTCCTCGCCCCGGGTGGGGCGGCAGGCGCCGCCTCGGAGCCCCGGGGTCCGATTGTGTTTCACAACATCTGCCGGTCACCGTGACCCAACTGCAGGCCGAGCGCGCAGAGCGGCGGGGCAGGGGAGCGAGCGCGGCCGCCGCGGTGCGACGGTGGAGAGAGGGCGCGAGGGGAGGGTGGCCGGCGACTGGGGTCCGGCGGCTGGACTTACTCGTGGCACAACTTCGGCGACACGGGGCTGAGGAACCGGTTCTTCCAAAAGCAAACCGAAAATGGTAACGGAGAGGCCAGGGCAGCGCTAAGAGGGGCTCTGGCTCGGTGGATAGGGCAAAAACCCCGCTCCAGCTTCCAGAAATTCGAGCCACTGGTGGCTTTTTTCTTTCTTTCCTTTTGAATCGCGCCTGTGCCTCCCTCCTGGTCTATAAGCGCCCTTCCCGCGGCTCTGAGTGCGCAGCTACACCAGGGCCGGCACTGGCGCGGGGAGCTTTCTTCCCAGCACCCCTCGATCTTCCCAGCACCCGCCCCCACCACAGCCCCTACTGTGGGCCCCGACTCCCTTAAGCGCCTGGGGCCCCAGCCCAGGCCTGTTGCCCGCGCCGTGAGGGTGTCTCGGACGCCTAGAACCCCGCAGCGTTTTCTAAATGAGAGGCCTCAGAGCCAGGAGGGGATTGGGGGGGAGGGGCGGGGAGGGGTTCTTTGTTCCCTAGGGGGTGCTAGGTGTTCAAGGGGTGGTCCAGAAGAAAAGGGTGGGGGGGAATGACATGGGGATTTGGTGGAGGAAGTAGGCTCTGCAGTCGGCCTGAAATTTATTAAATAATTTTAGAAATAGTCTTAAAGGCACATGCCCTTAGCTGCTGCTTACAAATAGGGAAACTGAGGCAAAAATGGCACGTGGAACCACAAAGTCATGCCTGTACTTAATTCGCACTCCAAGCTCCTTATCTTTTCTGCTAACCTTTTTGCCTCTCTTGGCTTCAGGGACCCCTGGGGTCTCTGTAACCACACAGGTCCTCTGCATCTGTACTTAATGGGGATGAGAGAGTCTTGATTGAGTTTGTAAAGTGCATCAGCTTTCTTCAGGCCAGGCCCAGTTGTCTGCAGAAACTGCCTCCTACTTGATTAAGGAATCCAATCACAGGCATGAAAAATAAGCAAATGCTGGGATGATTTGCTCTTACAAGGACTCTTTCTCAGTGTGCATCAAAAGATTGGCTCTTCTCTTCCTCCAATAAAATCCCTTCCCCACCCCCTCTCGGTTATTCACGTCACATGAAATAATGTAAGCAAAGGAGCCTTGGAAAGCGTGAAGCTTGGCGTGAATGCAGGTATTCTTGTACACACTCTTTCAAAATCTGAATTCACATGCATTACTGTTGTTTTTATCAGTCAGAGTATCTGTTGACTTGTGCTGGATACCATGAAGTTAGAACAATGAGACCTAATCCTTCACTTTCAAAGACCCAAGATTATAGATTCTGAGATAAGACAAGCACACAGGAAATCATTAGGAACCCACACAAAAGCTGATTTTTGATCCTAAACTGTTGGATGTTTATATGTATGCAGACCCAGAGACTTTCCAAAATAGACCATGTTTATTGGGAAATGACTTATAGAAGTCAGTGCACTGACGGTTAACACAATGAGACCCTGATATCTCGCCCAACAGGTAATTAATCAAGTTAGTTGGTGAATGAGAATGCTTTGCCTTCTGGGACCCACTGCTTACCCTTTCTACGCATTCATAAGCAGAAAGAGTTTCCATAAGATAAAGAAGGAAATCGAGAGCCTCTTAAAGATCAGGGAATAAAAAGTTTTATTTAAAGAGGATGCAGGGATAGCTCAAAAAATATCAAATACAAGTGTCTGTGAAGAACTCATCGAAGGCAACGAGACTGTCTCTTTTCAAAGACTGTTGGCATGGTATTTGACAATCATGTCTTTAAAATCAGTCTTTATAATACAGAAGTAATATAATCTAACTTTTTTGTGTATTAATACAAAAATTCTTTTGATCCTTGATCCTGGTTCTTCCTAAGTATATAAAGAAAACAACTCTCAACCCAAATATCTTACATTTTATATTTTTAATTCTAGAAACCTAGTTTCATAGGACCTTTGGATACAAATAGACCTAAATTTTGAACTCGGGTCTGAATTTAAAGGTGTAGCGAATTAGTTCATCATTGCTGTTTCAGAAATGCCATGTGTTTAAAATACTGAAGATAGTCATATCCAGAATTTTCTCTTAATGAAAGTTATTTGGGCAAGGTACCTTTATTTTAGCACAGTCTATAAATTCTTCATATTCTCCAAAACAGGAGTAGCAGGAGCCAATTTATCGAGTATAATGTATTCCAGACACTTGCTGGAATAAACAATGCTTGCAAGCCCCTCAGATGCACAGCCAATAGGGAGCTGTTGACTACTTGAGGTTTTTACACATCTCTCAGCCAAATCAGAAATCCAAATCCCAAATCAGTCACAGACACACACTATGGCTTTATAGCACTGCATGAGTATAAAGTCGCAATCTGCAAATATGTTATATCACCCAAGACAAGCTGATTTTTGACATAAAAATACTTTTTTTCGTTTAACATGAATGTAAGTATGAATAAAAATTTCAATAAAATTGTAGATGATCTTTGAAACATAGAACAAAACACCATGGAATATATTTTCACAATTATCCATTTGAGAATGTATTACCATATTGATGTGTATACGGACATGCAAGTGTATCTCAAAAAGTTTGTGGGGAAATCCATTTCAGTTCACTTGAGTGCAAAAAATATTTTGAAATTCATGCACAGTTTTTTCATAATATATATTTTCCATGAATTTTTTGAATTTTTTGAAGACTCTCAAAGGCATAAATTTCTAATTTTTTTGCAGCCAAATAAACTTATTTCTTAATTCCATGTTTTTACAAACTTTTTGAAATACACTTAAATTTCTCTGTAGAATTTCCACGTGAGTAACTAGCAAATACCATAAAGACTCAATGATATATCTGTTAGTTTATGATGGATTTAGGACATTCAGCTGTTTACATGTCCTAAAATGCTAATCTCAACTGCTATCCTAACCTACAGTATATACAATAAAGTAATGACTAAGTTTTTCACACAACAAGGCGAAAAAAATTGCTGAGGTGTACAGTTGTACTCTGGCTTGTGGAATAAACACAGAACATGTGATGGAAATGTGAGTTTAAACTCATGTCCTATTCAAGTTCTCAAATACAGATCCACAGAAGGCAAAGAGCAAAAACCAACAAGAGTTTTGCAGTTCTTTGAGCATTTTTATTTTACATTGACAAATTACATATGCTGTGAACAATACTAATTTAAAAGAAACTTCTCTCCCTCTCTCTCTCTCTCTCTCTCTCTCTCTCACACACACACACACACACACACACACACACACATTTAAAATTCCTTTGTTATTTAGTGTTACAATGTAACTTCATGCAGCAAAACTTGCCAAATACACCTAAGAGGAGTTTTCCTTAAGAAAGAGGGTGAAAGCCCAGCCCACTTACTGTAGATCTGGATTTACTCCTGAGTGTCAGTCAGAAGCTGGACCATATAGGAACAGTGAAGTCCACCCTACAGGTGTAAGTTCAGGATGCTCTTATTTACAGGCACAATGTAGTGAAAGTTTAATGGACCAACCATGCCACCCCCCCATACTTGGATTTCCTCTTTCCTTTCACTAAAGGAATGAATAAGGTTAGGAACCAAGTTAAATCTTTGAGTGTTTCAGTACAGAGCCTTAGTTGAAGATGCAGGAATAATAATATCAATAAAAATTACGTGCAAGACTAAAGACAATCTTTAAGCTCTAGGACTTTTGTAAATATGTCAGTGTACTCTTAATCTACTGAAATATCCTGTAATCTGAAAATTAACTCCTGTGCCTGTTGATCCCCTAAGCAATCTATGAAATAAACCAAGAAATTTACTTACTGGTCACCATCTTGCAGGAGCCATACATTTTGACTTTTATATTCAATTTATTATTCCAATAGGAGTGGTTTTCTAAACTAGCTATTGTTGATTTATGTTAGGAATTACATTTCTCCTTTCAAGACATAAGATCATCATCATATTCCTTAAAAATACTTGAGATTTTGGAGGTATGCAATGAAAAGTTTGGGTGATAAGAGAATTTTACTTTTATCTTTATAGCTTAGGAGACCCAGTAAGGGACACAATACTAGGATTTTTGGCCAAATTACTACTAAAAGGAAGATTTAAGGTTAATTTTTAAGTGAGGCTTTACCCATAGCTTGTATATCATAAATAATTACTATGGTAAACTTTATTGTATGGTTGATTTTTTAAAAAATCTGTTCTATTGTACTTTCCCTTTTAGGTAAATCTTCCAAAGCTTTTGAGATACAATGCTTCTGCATATTAAGCACTACCTATTTTTATCATTTTTATCTCTTGCCATATATACGTGTGTACATATATATATAAAACACAACTTTGTATATATTATTTTTCATTGTCAACTACTGTTATAGGTGGAGCTTTCCTGAGCTTCCAATCTAGGTCATTCTACTTATTAATATATCCATTTGTGAACTAGCTATATGTGCTTTGGGAAAATAGGAGTCTTTAATGCGATGTCACACATTGTCCTTCTTCCCCTCAAAAGGCAAAGGCAATGATTTGAGTGTGCCTTTAGCTTTCCATCACGTGACAAACAAGCACCAGGTTCACTATTCTTTCTCACAACCAGCAGATTCAAAAAATAGTAACTTTTCCTTCAAGAATAAAATTGCAGGTAAATTTTTTAAACTGTACAATATTTTGCTTTTCAAGTTTGCTTTAGAACAGAACTGTACACTCCCTAAGAAAACACAAACGGCCAGCAGGACAGAAAGACTTAGAAGTTGAATTTCTGTGTAGTTTGGAGTTGGAACTCAAGTTTATTACTTTTAGATTTTATTTCCCCAGACGTACTACTTGCACTTATCTAGGTTAAATCTCATTTGTGATTTCCTGACTCTGCTTTTGGCATGGCTGATTGTACTGTTGTTGACTTTAGTTTACAATTGTAAATTGCTATTAAACTTTCCTAAAAAAAAAAAATCGATCCAATTTTTTGAATCCCATCATCATGCAAAAATAAAACTAAACAGATATACCTTTATGTCAGAAAGATTGAGATCTGGAAGTTTAGATTCTTTAAAAAGATGTAGCATAAAGGGTTTATTCTATAAAACATAGATTGTGGACTGAGGCCCATTTGGAGAAAGCATGTAGCTCTCTGCTGGCCAACAATAAGCCTAAAGAATAGTACTAGAGGTAGCAGTAAAGATAATTTTCAAACTTCCTTGCCTTGTATGCCAAACCAAGCACCACAAAACTGCCAAAATTAGTGCCAAAGGAGTAGTGGGAAAGAAAAAGCCAACAATCCATTGTTTGTTTGA